TGATGGGATGGGAGGAGGGGAAAGCATTATCTTCTTACTGTTTAGAAGGGGAATCCCCTTCCATTAGGACTTGAGGTAGCAAGTCCTTTTCTGGGGTTACTTCCCTTCTTCTTTTAATGCCACTAGGACCAGCTTGAGAGTCACGGGACCTCTGTCGCACAACAAATCTGTCCATAGAGCTCTGTACCTCCCGTTCCTTCAAGACTTTCCTAAAATGGGCCATAACATTGTCATTGAAATAGTCACCAGCACGGCTTGCAACAGCTGTGTCAGGGGGATTTTCATCTATAAAGGTTTGCAGTTCAACCCACTGTGCACACATTTCCTTAATCTTTGAAGTAGGCACAATGGATTCCACAACTGGCATAGGCTTCTCAGGGTTAGCCCCAAACCCTTCAAAATCTTTCTTAATTTCCATACTAATTCTCACCCTTTTTACCACAGGGTTGGCACTAGAAGCTTTCTTGGGGCCCATGGTCACTTTATTTTCCAGAAACAGCACCGAAAACACTGTAATAATACGAAATATTCCGAGTGTATGCTTGGATGTTACCGCGGAGGCTGGCTGGTAAACAATGGGACGGCCGGCACATGTGAGGCACATTGGACGCGTCTCGGAAAGAAAATCGGTAAGCGGGTTTTTAATCGGTATGCGCGGCAAAAATTTTGCGATAAAAGTAATCGGTATGGGAAAAATCGCTATGTGATGCCATCGTTATGTGGGGGTCCACTGTACACGGGAATTGGCCGAAAATAGGGTTTAAAGTGGGCAAAATCTCCGATGCGTAAACATTGTCGAGACCGCTAACTTCACGAGAGCATAATTCCGTAAGTTTTCCATCAAATTTCATACTTTTGGTGTCATTATGATCGGGAAAAGGTTCTCTATCTTTTCATAAGACATTTTTGTTTTTTTTAAATTTGGCCGTCCCTGAGAACAAGTCTCTGAGAGGGCATGCTGTGGTCTACTGTGTCAAAAGCTTTCCTAAGGTTAATAAAGAGTCCTAGTGGATATTCATTATAACAAAAAAAAGAAGGCACAATACCGTGACTGGAACGATGCACAAATAATCCGCACATAGAAGAGAGGAGCTTACGACGATGTTTCAGTCTGACTTGGACCATTTACAAAGTCAGGAGCTGCATAAAGGAAGTATAGCAGTTCTATAATTGCATCATTTGCGCTTTTATTTGGTCTGAAATCAAACTGGCAGAGGTTGAATATATTGAGTGATGCTAGGAAAGAGTATAATTTCATGTGAATTATTTTGTCAAAAATTTTAGATAACAATGGTAAGTTAGATGTTGGCCTTAAGTTATTTACGGCTGTTGGGTCTCTACCTTTGTGTATTGGGGTAACACTTGCTATCTTTAGTATTGTCAGAAAAGTGTTGGTTTCTAATGATTTGTTGAACAATATTGTAAAGGTTCATGAAAACACATGAGCTTCTCTTTTAAACAATAATGGTGGTACCTATGCTAAGTTTCCTGACATGTTTTTCAGTGAATTTATTATGAAAGTGACCTCATTAGGAAAAGTTGGAACCAGATAAACTTCCAGCAATGTAGTCACTCGAGTACTGGTACTTGGGATTTTGCTAGATAAACTTGATCCTATGGTAGAGAAGAAACCATTTAACTTATTGGCTGCTTTATCAGGCTGGAGATGTGGTTCATTGGGTCTGGTTAGGACAATATCTTGGGTTTTGGTCATTTTACGAGAACCCAGGATTTGAGTTTCTGTTCCAGATCTTCTTCATAACACCTCTTATTTCATTGAACCTGGTTCAATTGTTTAGACTTCCTTATTAGTTTGGTAATTACTGTTGTATAGTTTTTTTGGTTTGTTTTATAGTTATCAAGCCCAGTCTATATTTCTCATAAATGTTTTTATCAGTGGACCTGAGGATGATATGTTTTAGCCATGGGCTACCTAGTCTCTGCTGTGATCTGTTTAGTTTTATTAAGACAATGTTTATTGTAAAAGCTTCGTATTTTTTGCAGAAAAAATTTGACATATATGTCAATGCCTCCGTCATCGGTCAGTGTAACTTACTGCTGTAGTGAAGTTACATAATGATTCATATTAGATTAGCAAAAATTGTACACTGCAGTTAACTTATTAACCCTTTTACTGTCGGTCCCATAATATTATGACTTGCAATCCAGTGTCGGTTCCGTAATACTACACCAAATTCTAGTGGCTTCTAGTCTTGTGGGTGATAGCTGATAGACCTACATATAAAAGAATGGGTCTGAGTGGTCAGTGTGTGCAGTATAAAAAAAAGTCCTGCAACACACAGTACATAATGAGAAAAAAAAACTGCTGCCTTATTTTTGGTTTAAAACAGCGACTTTGCTGTGTATTTTTGTATGGCGTTTATGGTTGTATTCTCATTTTCTTGGTCTCATTTGATAGAATGGAAAATATATTACAGAAATAGAGATGATTTTGAATGGTTTACAGACAAAAAGTACCTTGAAATTGAGCTCAAAGTAGCGGAAATGTTCAATTTTTGGTGATGTTCAAGAGTAAACAAATCATGTTACACGTCCAATACACTTCAACTGGTGGGTCTGATATGCTTTCACAAATGCGCTGATATTATTTATGCCATTTTTACATACAGTAAATCTTCTATTTTTTGCATGAATAAAAATTCAAAATGGAAAACAAACATAATATAAGAGGGACCTGGAGATGTGACTAATAAACAGAGAAAATGTTATTTTAGTGCTAGGAATGTTTACATTGTTAATTCTGGACCCCATTTTGAAACTGACCTTCCTTGAATTTTGCATGAAATTAGCTAAAATACCAAAATCTGATCACTTTATTGGGCAGTTGAAGTAGGTACGTGAGCAGTTTCTTGTGCTCAATCGATAGACCAAAAAAGGAGTTCTAGTGAAATAGCTCTGAGTTTGGCTGATTGGAACAATGGAATTGGCCGAAATAGGGCTCAAAGTGTGTGAAATTGCCAATGTGTAAATATCGCTGAGACTGCTAACTTCGCGAGAGTGTAATTCTGTAAGTTTTCCATCAAATTTCGTACTTTTGGTTTCATTACCATTGGGAAAAGATTCTATCATTTCATGATTTTTTTTTTTAAATTCTTCAACACTGAAAGCAAGTTTGCGAGCAGGGGTCGCAACAGTGAAAGGGTTGTTAATAATAATAATAACTTTTATTTCAGCATGATACATGATTTGTTTTTTAGGGAATTAATAATTAGGGTGACTTCTGTGGGTTCAGTTGGAGCAAGATAGAAGGAAAGTAATTACTAGCTTGGGCATTAGTGCTTGGAATTTTGTTAAGGAGACTTGATCCTGTGATAACGAAAAAATCTTTTAACTTATTAGCCGTTCCAGTAGGCTGGATCTGTGGTTCATTGGGTTTAGTTGGAACAGTATCTTTAGTTTTGGTCAGCTTTTGAATACCCAGGATCTGAGTGTGTTTTCCAGGTCTTGTTTTCATATTTCCTTCTCAATCCTTAAACTGTCCAAACGTAGATCTACGTTTGTGCGCGTAGCACTCCAACCTTGATTTTCTCCACAAAAAAGCTTGTAAAAAAAAAATGTAGATCTACGTTCAGAGAGCTATGCGAGCAAACGTAGATCTACATTTGGACAGTTTAAGGGTTGATATCTAACCCTTACTTGTTTTTTATCCTTAATTTTTTGTCCTAATTTGTTCACCACATGCTTGAAACTATTTCTTTGCCAATGAATGTGACAGTTCTCACTGTATAATAAAAAATAGACAATGCAGAATTGTGCATATTTCTTCAGACAGAGTATGTGTCATTCTCATTTAGTTTACTAGTCTAGGGAAACGTGTAAATTTGTTGAAAAAATTTGGTGAATTGAGAAAATGTGAGCTTCAAAAATATAAGTTTAGTTAAAATAGTAAAATTCTTTTAATTAAGTAAAAATTAGTCATGAGGATTTTAAATATATCTTCAATAAATTAAATGCCTGGTAATGTGAAAATTTTGTAGTGTTAGATTATGTCATTTTCAAAAAGAAAATTTTCCCTACAAAATTTTTAACTTAAAGCATTTGGGGAAGACTTTTTCACATTTTATTTATAGTACAGTTACCCATAATCTATGTCTTAGTAGAGGTAATTTTATTACTAGAAAGATTAACTAAAATAGTTCTTTTTTTCTTTTTTAGATTGTGAAATATTGTTACACTTTGCACATATTTTTGGCACAAGGCTATGTAAATGATCAAATAGACAGTTAATGCTTGTTCATTCATATAAGAATTAACTTGTGGTTTATTATTTGACATGTAAAATCATAGTAACACAATTGTAAATAACTTACAGAATGGATGGGGTTCGAATCCATGACGAGCCAGTCCTAAAACTAACAGACCAGTGTGTTAACCACTGTACCATGCCGGACGAATAAGATTCATCCAGCTAGGGATATTTCACTACCCTAGGAAGGTTAGCATGGCCTGCACTCTGACCACATTGCAGGTTTTACGACTGGCTCACCGTGGATCGAAACGTATCCGTTCTGTGAGTTGTGGCTTGTTATTTTCAAGAAACTGGGAATGGCATTGATTTAATGTGTACTGTATATTGTAGGCTGAGTAGAGGATGTAGATCAGACATGCAGCCTGTGGTAGCTTCAGTCAAGCCTACATTGTGGTAATTGGTTCAGTGTCTCATGTAGCTATTACGTAAGAATATTAAACATCACAAATTTAATTTCTTGAAGTGTTAGTGAGAGACCACAGATATTCTCGTGTTTTCCTTTCATTTCTCTGGGCTACAAATTTAAGCTAATACTGCATGTTTAAACATTACATTTACCTCATCATGATTAGTAATAATTGTAAAAACTGAACTCAAAAGGGATTCAGAGGTTCATAGTGATTAATTGTTGCTGAGTTATCACACAGACACTTGCCATTTTGAACATTGTGTTCTGTGTTTTAAGAGGAATGTTCCAATCATTTTAATTTTGTCTAATCATATATATTGAACAGTCCTTGATGAATCCATCCTTCAACAGAGGAAAGGAAGCCATGTCAAGACAATCCCTCCATATCGTCCCGTCCCATTGGAGGCTGGAGCTTCAGATGATGATAAGGAGTCCAGAGATCCTAAGCTAAAAAGACGAACTGGACGCCCACCGGGTGTAAAGCCATCTGGAAAACTCGGTGAAATCATTGTATCGGGAGGCAGTAATGCTAGTTCCAGTGGGGCGGTGGAGCAACACGACAGAGGACTTGTAGAAGAGGACAATACTGGTGTAACCCCTGGAAGTTCTGGCATATCTCTGGGAGGCAGTGCTAATTTATCAATAATCCCAAATAAAGCTGAAAGAGCAGCTAAAATATCAGAACCTAGTCTTGCTAATAGTGCTTCCTTGTCCATTGCTGTGACCAAGGTTACAGTTCCCATAACAGTCAGTGTATTTTCATCAAATTCATCTTCAATTGCTCCTCCACCTCCTACTTCGTCTTCATTAACACCATCTTTTCCAACCTCATTATCATCAGTGTCAACATCATTTTCACTCTCGGCACCCTCTTCATCCACCTCTACAACGACTTTATCATCATCATCATCAACAACAACATTATCAACCACTGTTTCCAGCTTGTCATCACCACTAATAGCATCTGTGCCATCTTCAATATTAGCTACAACCCCCTCTTTACCTCGTCCCAAATTAGAATCTCATCCTCATCCTCCAAACACTACACTCGAAAATCCCAACCAGATAATCTTGCCCCTCAACCAGTCACATAATCAGTTACACATGCCGTTACCTGCTGATGCTGACAAAGACAAACAGCAGGAACGAAACCGCAAGCTGCGACGAAATGGGCCACGAACTCCAAGTGGAAATAGTAACTTTGGTGACACAGAATCCAATGTTTCAAATGATGAGGCCCAGTCTAGTGATTTAGTATTGAATATATGTGAAGAAAAGAATCTTAGTGTTGAAAAAGAATCAAATAAAGTGCCAAGTAAACCTTTGGACTCCTCAGATGATGGTGCAAGCTTAAATGTGCAGTTTACACCAAATATGTCTACCTTAACTTCTAAACCTGTTTCTGATCCCTTCATACCAACTATGGCTGACTTTGCTACAAGTGAACCAGCTAAGAGAGGGAGGTAAGTTCTATTTTTTAGACAATGAAGCATTGTTTTTGTTAACCATTTAAACCTTTAAAATAATGGATCTTATATTTTGTCTTTTAAATTTAAATATCCCTTCCTAAATTCAACAATTTCCAGGAACATGGTCATGTGCTCTGCTTTTATGCAGTTTGAGGAAGAGACCTTGTATGTTAAATATTTTTCAGAATTTCTCTCGTTAAGCTGTGCTGCATAAATGTGATAGAATTACAAGGTCAGAATCCAAAATTTATATACAGTTTACTCTCGGTTAATGCAATAGTAACATTCCTGAAAACAGCATGTAGTCAAAACATTGTGTAAAATTAACTGAAGAATGTATGAGAAAAAGTATTCAGGGATCTCTCAACAAAAACCAACGTTTTTCTCTCTCAATTGTAAAATAGCAATAATGGTAATGTAATTGTAGGTTGATGTAGTGATGTGCTTGAGTCAAAGATCCTGCATCTACATTTCTACTAGCAGATGGAGGTGCCTTATTGTTTGGTTGTCCCACTTGTTGAAACTATTTGGGGGGTTATAAAGGAGGGGGGTAGAAGCTGGAGGCTGGTGTTGGGAGGATTAGAATGCTGGACAGTGGAGGGGTGGTGGAGGCTAGAAACAAAAGGTAGTGTGGCGATGGTGTGGGCGAGTGTGCAATGAGTGGCTACATGACTAGGTGTGTGAACAGCATGTGGACTTTGAAAGCATTTCTTTTTTTTCTCTAACCTTTTCTCTCTTTTCTCTATCCTCTTTTTCTCTATCCTCTTTTTCTCTATCCTCTTTTTCTCTATCCTCTTTTTCTCTATCCTCTTTTTCTCTATCCTCTTTTTCTCTATCCTCTTTTTCTCTATCCTCTTTTTCTCTATCCTCTTTTTCTCTATCCTCTTTTTCTCTATCCTCTTTTTCTCTATCCTCTTTTCTCTATCCTCTTTTTCTCTATCCTCTTTTTCTCTATCCTCTTTTTCTCTATCCTCTTTTTCTCTATCCTCTTTTTCTCTATCCTCTTTTTCTCTATCCTCTTTTTCTCTATCCTCTTTTTCTCTATCCTTTTTTTTCTCTATCCTCTTTTTCTCTATCCTCTTTTTCTCTATCCTCTTTTTCTCTATCCTCTTTTTCTCTATCCTCTTTTTCTCTATCCTCTTTTTCTCTATCCTCTTTTTCTCTATCCTCTTTTTCTCTATCCTCTTTTTCTCTATCCTCTTTTCTCTATCCTCTTTTTCTCTATCCTCTTTTTCTCTATCCTCTTTTTCTCTATCCTCTTTTTCTCTATCCTCTTTTTCTCTATCCTCTTTCTCTATCCTCTTTTTCTCTATCCTCTTTTTCTCTATCCTCTTTTTCTCTATCCTCTTTTTCTCTATCCTCTTTTCTCTATCCTCTTTTTCTCTATCCTCTTTTTCTCTATCCTCTTTTTCTCTATCCTCTTTTCTCTATCCTCTCTGTGTGCTTTTTTTAAAACCCTTTCGCTATCCATCACTTAGATCTAAGTCATCGAGCTCAGAGTCCCTGACGTAGACCTACATGTAAATTCTAGTGGCTTCAAATTTAGTGTGAGAGGCCTGCTAGGGCTACATATGAAAGAGTAGGTTTGCATGGTCAGTATGGGCAGTAAATATAAAAATCAGGTCCCCAGTTGTGCCTTGTGGGACTGCCATATTTAGTACCTTCTGCTCACAGTGCCGTGCGGTCGGAAAAACCTCACTCCAAAGCGAATTGAACATCTTTTCCCAAGTGACAGTTTTAACATTGAGAAATATGGAAGTGGTGATGAGTTCTATGGTTTTGAACATTTATTGACCGAAAGTGACGCTCAGGATGCCAGAAATATTGCTGAAAACCCTAATGACTCACAACCATCCACTTCTCAGGCTGGTCAGTCTGAAACACGTCCATCTTTACAAAGCTGTAGGTGAAAGCTCGTATTTTCCCATGGCCTGGGCTTAAATGTGAGTAGTGGTGATGATAGTGATGTGGATTTTGATTTCCTAGCTATTGATGGCAACTCTAGTAGTGACAGTGGTGAGCAATATTCACAGGTGATGTGTCAATTTATTGGTGCCACATGTGATCTGGTAGTGTGCTATTTGCTATCCCGAGGGACTGAGTATATCCTGGACCCAGCACCAGCAGTAGATAATGATAATGACTATCAAGTTGCATCAATTGGGATGAATAATAGACTGCATGTGGCAGAAGGTGGTGACACAAGGGTGCAGCAGCAGCACCAGTCCAGGCTGGGAGTCGCTGCCCACACTAAACACCACAACGACCCATGTCTGCCTCTACTGCCCGCACACATCCACTACCTGCATGACCACAACCAGCTGCTAATATCCAGTACCCATCATCAGACTACATCTGAGATTGTCAGGAACGTGCAAATTTTGTACACAATCCCCGTCAGTTTAATGACACTCAGAATCTTGCCTAATTGTACTTTCAGGAACAATACTAGTGAATTTCAATTATTTGAACTAGTTTTTGATCAAACCCTGATGGAAATTATTGTGAGGGAAACCAACAGATACTTCACGATGGCAAACATAATAGTTTCACCACAATCACAACTACATTAGTGGAAGGACACTTGTGTCTGAGATGTCTCTTCTTTGCCACAATAATACATTATTGTGGCTTATGCATTATTGTGGCTTTCAGTGTTCTTATCCCAGCTAACAGACTTCTCATACTATTATGTATGCTACATTTCTCAGACACCACAAGACCTGACAGAAACATGTTATACAAGATTAGGTATGTTTTTATGTATCAGAAACAGAAGTTCAGTACATATTTTTATTCCTTCAGAAACCTTGGCATTGATGAGGCTGATACTTTTCAAAGGTAGACTGCTGTAAAAGCACGTAAACATGCGCCCAGGTTCAGTGCAGGAATTTGTACCGGTGAGGGGCAGGCATTTCATGCCAATGACATCATGACATTATGGTAGCATAAGAAATGAGATGACATGGTAGACATTGATTCATCTCAGTGATAATGAAAGACACTGGAAGGGTGAGTAGAGACTCCCAAAACCCATCCTGAAAACTGCAGCTGTTCTTGACTATGCTGTCAGTGTGTTTGGTGGACAAATGTGACATGCAGATTGGATTTGCTGACTATGTTTACAAGAGTTATAAATGGTATGTGAAATTATTCTTCCATCTCATGGACATTTCAGTGCACAATGCACATAATGTAACAGATGAGGACTGGTTATATTCTTGTTTTCTTGGTCTCATTTGATAGAATGGAAAACATATTATAGAAATAGAAGTGATTGTGATTGGGTTTCCTATGAAAAGTATCTTGAAATGGAGCTCAAAATGGCAGAAATTTTCGATTTTTGCCAATCTTGAAGAGTAAACAAATGATGTCATTGTCAAATAAATGTCTATCTAGCCATTCTAATACACAGTCACGAATGGGTTGACGGTATTTATACAATTATTACAATATTGCAGTAGTCTACTTGACAGTAAATCTATTTCTTGTGTGAATAAAAATTCAAAATGAAAAGCAAGAGTAATATTAGAGACGTGACTGATGAATAGAGAAAATGTTATTTTAGTGCCAGGAATGTCTTTCATTGTTCATTCTGGACCCTATTTTGAAATTGACATTTTTTTTAATTTCCCATGAAATTGGCCAAATTGCCAATTTCGGGACCATGTTTTTGGGGTATTTAAAATCAGTAAATGGACAGTTTTATACTCAGTCAATAGAATAAATGGAGTTCTAAAGAAATAGCTATGAGTTTGGTGGACTGGAACAATGGAATTGGCCAAAAATAGGGCTCAAAGTGGGCGAAATTGCCGATGCGTAAATGTCCCCCCGAGGTGGCAAACTTTGTGAGGGCATAATTCCACAAGTTTTCCCATCAGATTTTGTACTTTTGGTGTCATTATCACGGGGAAAAGATTCTCTATCCATTTCATAAGAAAAAATAATTTTTTTTTTTCCCACTATTTTGCGACACCCAGGAGACACTTCGGGATTTGGGTTGCGACAGTCAAAGGGTTAAATCCCATTCCAGAAGGTTGGCCAGAATCCGAAAGGCCGAAAACCGAACCAATATTTCCCTAAGAAATAATCTAAATTTAAAATTATAATCCGTTTCAGACACCCAAAGAAAAATGCATTTTATAGAGAATAACGATAGTTTTACATACAGAAAATAATGAGAAATAAATATAAATGACTAATTTTAATGATAAATTAACATTACATACCTTTATTGAAGATTCTTGTTAGCTCTTCCCTGTGGTTGTCCACCAACTCTTCCACATCCTGGCCACTCACATCTAACCCCTATCTACCGGCTACATACACTGCGGCCCACAGCCTTATTATTACCATCGACATACCATGTTCGCCGAGTTAAATCGTTTCTAACAACTACCTTTAGATGCCATCATAAACAAAGGGAGAAGTAATGAATAATTCATGCCTTATGTATTAATAGCAGTTACTGGGCCAACGCAGATTCATAGTCATCTCTAATGCTGGACCAGAGAAAACGTAATGTTTACCCTTCACCGCATATAAACATTGCATGTTTATATGCTATGTAATGTGTTTCATACATAATTTTGAAGAAAATATCATAGATGGGTTAATGAAAATGTCAATAATAACTTAAAATAAGACATTTAATGTGCCCAAGAGTGATTATTATTACTTACTGTTACGTAGCATTACTATGGCGTTAAGACTAGAGGGACACTGAGTAACAAAGACATGTTTATATGCTATGTAACATGTTTCTTACATAATTTTGAAGAAAATATCATAGATGAATTAATGAAAATGTCTGTATTAACCTAAAATAAGACATTTAATATGCCCAAGAGTGAGTCACAAACATATGAGTAGCCCAGGTGCACGCGTCTGGTACCAACGATTTCCGAGCGGTGTACGAAACCTGGGGGAAAATTTTGCCAAAAAAAAAAAAAAGTGCTCGAAATCCAAATTGTACGGGGGTCCACTGTAATCCA